CTTTACAACATTCCTTCTTAGCCTTCACCTTTGTTTGTACCTCCTCATTCCACCACCAAGATTCCTTTTGGTATGGGGCAAAGCCCTTGGACTTTCCTAATACCTCTTTTGCTACTTTTCGGATACAACTAGCCATGGAATCCCACATTTGGCTAGCTTCCCCCTCTCTATCCCACCCACACTGGGTGATTACTTTCTCTTTAAAAATGGCTTGTTTTTCTTCCTTTTAGATTCCACCATCTAGTCCTTGGGCACTTCCAAGTCTTGTTCTTTTTTCTCACTCTTTTGATATATGTACATCCATCACCAACAAGCGATGTTGATTAGCCAAGCTCTCTCCCGGTATAACTTTGCAATCCTTACAAGTTATACGATCCCCTTTCCTCATTAGAAGAAAATCTATTTGTGTTTTTGACGACCCACTCTTGTAGGTGATCACATGTTCTTCTCTCTTCTTAAAGAAGGTGTTGGCTAAGAAGAGATCATATGCCATTGCAAAATCCAAGATAGCTTCCCCATCCTCGTTTCTCTCCCCAAAACCATGGCTACCATGAAAACCTCTATAGTTGCCTGTCTCCCTGCCCACGTGTCCATTTAAATCTCCTCCTATAAATAACTTCTCCATCTGGGCAATTCCTTGCACCAAGTCTCCAAGGTCTTCCCAAAATTTCTCCTTCGAACTCGTATCCAACCCTACTTGAGGTGCGTACGCACTAATGACATTGATGAGTTCTTGTCCTATTACAATCTTGATTGCCATGATTCTATCTCCTATTCTCTTGACATCTACAACATCTTGTGTCAAGGTCTTGTCCACGATGATGCCAACACCATTTCTCGTTCTATTTGTGCCCGAATACCAAAGTTTAAACCTTGAGTTTTCTAGATCCTTTGCCTTAAGACCAACCCACTTAGTTTCTTGTAGGCACATAACATTTATCCTTCTCCTCACCATAACTTCCACTACTTCCATAGATTTTCCCGTTAAGGTTCCTATATTCCACGTTCCTAAACGCATTCTACTCTCTTGAACTCTACTCTTCTGCCCTAGCTTCTTCACCCTCCCCCGTCCAATAGGATCAAAGTACTTCTTTTGTGTGTCTTGTGTAAAGTTGATAGGAGCATATGCTCCCAAACAACTTTGAGTGGAGTCGTTCGAAAAGAAGTTTCTATGGCCCCCTTACTCATTTAACACTGCATCCGGGTGCCGATGGAGATACAGCGACCCTTGCTCACTTATCACTGTGCTCGGGCCACACAGCGCGCCACTTACGGGTGACGCCCTAGCTTTAGCGCAATTTCGTTCTGGATTCATTTTCATAAGGATTCGACCTAACTGTGGAGTGCCGGCTGTCGACTACCTGACGCCCTCCCCCTCCTCCTTTACCCCGGGCTTGGGACCGGCAATGTAAGATAAACTTACACAGGCGGAGTTAGAGGTTTAGCTAGACATGAAAATAAAATATAAAGAAAAATTGTTCAACAACATAAGCAAAACACTAAGTAATACAAGCATAGGCAGGAGATGATGACGTATATGACACGGCAAAAAAATGAGGTAGTGAAGATGAAGATATGCTTGATACTTGATGAAGAACTGATGTTTCGAACATGAAAGGAATAAAGGGCAGCCTTCCTAACCTCTCTCCTGCAATGCTGCAAGTCACGCTGCTTTCCCCACGTTCTGGGATTGCAGCTATCAGTCTCTCTCCTTTTGTTGCTAAAACAGCCGACCCAAAATTAGGGTTAAATCCCTCTCTCTTCCTTGCTTTATTTGGACTCCAAAACACTCAAGTAAACCTCAATTAAAGTAAGTAAATATCTTTTGAGCCCATTGATCAACACATGTGTAATATATTTCAATATCATCGACTCGTAACTCTAAAGCGTTGTGGTCGTACAAGTTATCAGCACAAACCCGCGTAATATCTCTGACTGAGCACCAGTCACCTAAAATTCAATAATTTCTTCTTCAGACCTCGGAATCACGAGCTGTAAAAGTGTACAAAAACTAGACACACAGAGCTTTCCATCCATATATGGCTCACCACCTGGTTCGTTCTGAGCTGTTCTCCAAAAATTATTCTAGTTGACGTATCTGCACAGCCATAATCCAGCACTTGACCAAAATTGCTTTCAATTTCTTCAAAAATTCTTCCTTTATCTCCTTTTGTACCAATTGACCTACAAAATACATAAATAACATAAATGACTCAAAAACAAAAGAACCCAAGCAACAAAGATTAGGAAAAGCTTGTAAAAATAATGACCAATTAACCACTTATCATTGGGCATCTCACCACTTTCTATTGTGCCTTCATCCTTTATTCCAGTCCTTTGGAAGTTGCCGATGGCTGGGTGGCTTAAGGTTAATACTGATAGGTCTTGCACCAACGAACATGCTAAATTTCTGGGGATCTTCGCTCTTTGGAGGGTAGGGTGTTTGGTTCTTTTGCATCAAATACGAAATTTGAAGTTCAATTACTGCAGAAATTCTTGCCTTTATTGCGTATAGCTTGGGTCAGAGACTGGAACCATATATGGATTGAAACAGATTCCATGTTCATTATTCATTATCTTTTCAAGGCTCCTAATGCGGTTATTTGGTTCCTTATGGTGGATTAAAAGAATTGTCTATGGTGACTTTGTCAAATGCGGTTTATATATACACATATTTGTCGAGAAGGAAATCAGGTTGTAGATTCTTTATTGGGGCTGATAGTTATGCTTATTAAAAATGGTGAAAAAAGGATGGGCGGGAGGGTTTATGGGTGTAATGGTCCTCACTCCTACGAAGTAGTATATGTGCCTCGTAATCGATCATTGCCAAATAGCTAATATCGCATAATCTCTCTATTTAACTTATAAAAAAAAAGGTACTAAGTATCATCCAATTTAGAATGGGAGAAATAAGAGGATGGGGTTTTTGGACCATTAATTAGAGCTTCGGTTTGAAAGAGACTCGTGGAGCCCTTACGCAGCTCCTGACCTTCTTAACATTAACTGAAGATCTAGATTCCTTTTTTTAATTTTTTCTGAATAATATTTGAGTACTGACATGTTAATAAGTCTTTTTATTCTTCTGATGCTTAACTTATAAGAAACATAAAAGAAAAAAAGAAGAAGATACTCTACTTTTCTGATTTCAAGCTAGCTCTCAATCATGTCTTTTTCTCGTCTAAGAACTGCCATTTCAGCACTATTCCTCCCCACTAAAAGATAACATTTCAACGAAAAAAAATAAAATTCCAAAGAAATAAGAATGTGATATTAAATGTCAAAAATAATTAAACCAATGCAAACAATTTAAATCTGTTTGATGGAGGTTTCGTAATGGCCAACCCAATCGAATAATGCAGTTTAGTTTTTTCTTCCTAAATGATGCTAGGAAACCACATTTTGTAGACCATATTTAAATTCTCTCTTTATTACAGATGTTGTTTACATGTGGTCTACCGAATGTGACCTTACCTACCATTTTCCATCATGTTTAACTTCTTTGAACATTCAGGCATACATTGAAGGGTATACAAATACGACTCGACTGGTTTCATAACTCATAAACGTTCTACCTCCACTTACTTTATGTCATTCAATGCATTCTTATAGGGTCGAGGAGTGTAACTGTAAAAAATCATCAAAATCGAAGCTAAAATAACCGTTAAATTGTGATTTTTCGTTTATAACCGTCGAAATTTTTTGGTCTGTTACCTAATCTCCAAATGTTTGTTTTTTGTGTTTTTTTACGTATGCGATCTCGGAATGTATACAAACAAGTTTGATAGTTAGATCATTGAAAAAAGTTTTGTAGAATGTGTATCGTGTCAAAACGGTAGATTAAATAAACACTTAAGAGTTAATGTTATACTTCCATTAAGTATAAAATAAGGTTTCGTGGTATCCACTAGTGTAAATATTTTAAATTGAAGATCAAATTTATTCATTGCATTCTTATAGGGTCGATGAGTGTAGTTGTAAAAAATCATTAAAATCAGAGCTAAAATAACAGTTAAATTGTGATTTTTCATTTATAATCATTGAAAACTTTTGTTCCGTTACGTAATTTTTGAATTTTTTTTTTACAATTTTTTACGTATGCAATCTCGGAGTGTGTACAAATAAGTTTTACGGTTAGATCGTTGAAAAAAAGTTTCGTAGAATGCATATCGCGTCAAAACGGTAGATTAAACAAACACTTAATATTATACTTCCATTAAGTATAAAATAAGATTTTGTGGTATTCACTAGTGTAAATATTTTAAATTGAAGATCGAATTTGTTCATTGCATTCTTATAGGGTTGAGGAGTGTAAATGTAAAAAAATCATCAAAACCAGAGCTAAAATAACCATTAAATTGTGATTTTTCGTTTATAACTGTCGAAAACTTTTGTTCTATTACCTAATATCTGAATGTTATCTTTTTTTTTTTGCGATTTTTTACGTATGCGATCTTGCAGCATCTACAAATAAGTTTGACGGTTAGATCATTGAAACTAGTTTTGTAGAATGCATATCTCCGTTAAATTTGCCTAAATTTTGAAGTGGGAAAAGTAATTTGTGCTAAATTTTTATTTATGTTTTTCAAGTATTGATTAGACAATATTTAGTTTGTGTGATGACATTTTCATTGTACAAATCTTTTTGTTTCTTTATCGCATATTTTACATGGGTTATTATTTATTAAACCAAACAATTATTTATTTAATTTTTAAAAACGTATTCTATGTAAATCCATATTATTTATTTATTAAACCAAACAATTATTATTTTAATTTTCTAAATCGTAACTAAATTTTGGGAAGGAATTTAAAATTTTGGGAGGGAATTATGGGGGGATTTTTTCCGCCAATTTTTTCTGTCGGCTATACCCGATAGTAATGAAAATTTTCTGTCGGTTTATATTTTAAAAAATGTTTCTGTCGATTTTAATCAATAGTAATAAAAATTTTCCAAAATAAAACCACTCCATCTCTTCCTTGCATTCAATGTTTCAACGTCTGCAAGTTTTCTTACATATTTTTATGTCTCTGAAACTTGTTTGTTGATCTTTCTCTGCCGGTAATCCCGCCGAGTTTCCCTTGGAGAATTCTGTATCAGAAACACCATAGGCGGTACTGCCTCCAGACTCTAACTCATTAGTTAACTACGCATAATGCCGATCTCTTGCATCTCTAAGATTGTTTATTTATGAGCATGCGACATAACCCATATGCATATATATGTTTTGACTTGTGGGTTTGTACAGGTTATGGATATAGCTGCTTCTGCTTCTGCTGGTGGCGGTGGTGGACCTGGTGGTGCTGCTGATGTCCACCATTCTCGAGAAAAGTATGATGTGTTTAACACCATGGCTGCTTGGCTAGTTGATGTTAACACCATCAAGATCCTACCTTTCCAGCTCCCCACTATTGGTAATAATCTCTCTCCTTCTTTTTAATTTCGTTGTTCTGTTCGGTTTTCGGTTTCAGTTTGCAGTTCTATATTTTTTTGGTTTTCATGGATGTATAGCTAACTTATTTTTCCCCTATTTTGTTGGGATTTCTTTATTTTAGGACCGAATGATGTTCGAATTCGAATTAAGGCTGTCGGCATTTGCAGAAGTGATGTTCACTACCTCAAGACCATGAAATGTGCAGATTTTGAGGTTAAGGAGCCGATGGTGATCGTACATGAGTGCGCTGGGATCGTAGGTAGACAAAGTTGGGAGCGAGGTGAAGCATCTGGTGCCCGGTGACAGAGTGGCGTTTGAGCCCGGCATCATCAGCTGCGCACATTGCCAGCAGTACAAAGGAGGCCGCTACAATCTCTGCCCTGTGTTAACATCAATTAGGATTATTTATTCAATTATTAGTTTTGTTTATGTTTATTTAAATTGTCCTTTTTATATTTTTTTATTATTAATATATTTTCTATCGGTTTTATCCGACAGAGAATGCTCTTATCTATCCATTATTAATAAATTCTTTGTCGGTTATATCCGACACAAGTTCTATCAGTTTTAGAGTATTTTCTATTGGAAAATTTATTTCCTGACGCTGGCAATTCTGTCGCTTATTATATCCGCCACTGCATCTATTTTTTGTCGAATTTTGCTTAAAATCCGACAATAATATACGTTTTTTGTCAGTTTTTGGCGCACCAGTTATAGATAATTTTGTAGTAGTGTTATAAGACAATATTCTGGAGTTATTTAACCTATAATGTAAAGTACTAACATAATATATATAATTAGCTATATAAACCATGCACTATAGTCAATAACATGGATCAGTTTTGTTCGATAGAGAACATGATTTGTGTTAATTTTACATATATAAAATAAATAGGTAAACGGTTATCCGTTTATAACCGCGGTTAATACCCATAACCACCCATTTAAAATTCACAGTTAAACGGTTATACCCATAACCATTTATTTATCTAAACGGTTATCCATAACCATAATTGTGAAATTTAAATGAGCGGGTAACCGCGGTTACTCATATCCGCGGGTATTTTGCCCATCCCTTCAGAGATTACGCGCATGATAATTGAGATGGGTTTTAAACCTACGAAGCCTATGAAGTTGTATTGTGATAATAGGACTACGATTATTGATGCACACAATCTGGAGCAACATAATCGAACCAAACATGTCATCGCTTTTTGAAAGAGAAATTAGAGACCACACCTTGGGTAAGCATTGTTCTAAAAATCCCCAGATGGCGCTGCCTAGGCACTAGGTTACTGATCACCATCCCGATTAGTCCCTAAGCGTTTAAAAATTAAGAAATGACACCTACACTTGCTTAAGCGTCCACCTAGCCCGCATAAACCAACCTAGTTCGCGACTCCCACTTAAGCCAAAAATTGATAACTTGCATTCTGCATTTTATTTTTTCATAAAAATGTAAAGGACTTGTTGAATACTTTAATAAACACTCATAATATGCTTGTTCCCTATGTTTTCAATATGTTCTAATACTTTATATTTTATTATGCAATTTATGTATCCCAATATAATTATATGTTTTTTTTTTCGAAGTATAAATAAGCACTTATCCATATAATATATATAATAAATTTACTTAAATCCGCCTAGTTCCTGTCTAGCCGCCTAAGCACTAGGCCCCAACCAACCATCGGACTAGCGTCTAGCGTCTTTTAGAACCGTACAGGCTTGGACAGAGGAAAGTCCCTGAGCAAAGTGACCTGGAAAATACCATACAAGATACTACTATGTTAAATATGCAGATAGGTTCTCCAGAGAGGTTTGGATAGAGGAAAGTTGTCCTTGAATTGTTCTAAAATTTATTTTTCTTCACCCTTTAGTTTTCTGTTCCGGTCTACAGCTCGTTACTTCGCGATGCTTAGTTGACAAAAACAGTAACTGAATCTGAAATACATTGGTACAATGTCACACAAATTAGTGGCAGAGCTAGCTCACGAAGCCTGCAAGACACGACAGCGGTATTCACCCAATGCCCAGATGGGGAAGATATTCCGGTATGCAGCATACGTGATCATACAGTTCCGGTTGAAGACACCCATGATTTCCTGCAAAATAAAATATTGAAGGAACAAAAAAATTAAAACGTATTTGCCAGCGTTGCTTCATTTCCGTAAAAGAGTTACTAATGTCCTAAGGTTTAAGTTGCATTGCACATCTCTGGCTTGACATGGTTTAATCTTAGACTGCACGTACACTTGTCCGATACGCTAATCCTTCACTAACGAGTTAAGCAATCTTATTAATTTCATTTGTTCATATCCTAATACGTGAAAATCTTGTTTTTCGAGGAAGTATTCACTAGAAACCCAAAAGACAAGCAAAATGCAAATTAGAAGAGGCTTTAGAGCACTTGTTCTGAGGTTATGGATCTTAAATGGTACATAGTATTGGAACAAACAATGATGTACCTCTTGAGGAAAGTCTCCATTCTCCATTTGAGAATTTATCAAAAGTCTAGCTGCACGGTGCAACGGTGTTGGGTCTCTCTCAGCCTGCTCCAATGAGTAAGACACCACAATAAGAAAAGTGCAACCATTATGAATAACACCAAGGAAAGCAGTGAAAAGCCCAATCAGCAGGGAGTAAGTTTTATGGAGTTGACCGTTGGCAGTTTTAGAATTGTTAAGTTGGAGTGGCCAGATTTTGTGTGTTCTATGGTATTCAGTGTCTAATGAATTGACTTGTTTAGACACACTTCTTTTTTCTTAACACGGGATTAAAGCATGGATGTATTGGACTCAAATTGTTCGAACTCGAAACTAAAGGGGCTTATGTGGGTCTGATAAAGTGCTGGTAGTATACTGTGAGTTTCGACAGTAGAGGCTTTGTTTGTGTGTTTGATGGATTTCTGGTCCATTTTAGTGGTGTCGATGTTGGTAAAATATGATGAAATTATTTGTTCTCATCCAAAAGAATAAACACCTTGAATCAAAGGTTGTGAAACTATATGTACATGAAAGTATTTGGTAAAACTATATGCATACCTGGCCAGCATCAATAAGAGCCAACATGGCCCATCCAGTATTAACCACATGAGACCTATCACCATCAAGATTTGTGTACACCTGTATTGCCACCTCATACAAGACGCATCCCATTACTATCAAAGTTACAATCTCTTCGAGAGTCTCTTTGTTGACAAATGAACGTGTTATCGCAAACATCATGAATACATTGTAAAAAGATATGCTTTTTTTTTTGGGTAATCAAAATATATGCATTTTCAAAAACAAATGTTAGAAATATTCAAACCTTGCTAACCTGTTCTCTTTTAAATTAATGATAAAAGTTTTACCAAAAGAAGGCAAAGGACCCAACACTCTGATTCAGAGAAGGAAAATAAAAGCTTCATTTAGATTCAGGATTTTAATACACAGAGACACTACAAGCATATGTATTGTTATATGCTTTTATCGGAAACAACTAGCAAATCAGACGGTATTTGGCCTTATACCCTAGCAAACAAGCACACCAAACAGAATAATTCCTAACACTGATTAATTAAAAAATAATCAATTTAAAGGGATTACGAGCTAAAATGAGGCATACAACAGAGCTTGTAATTCAGGATTGATGAACTTAATAATTTATAGAAAATATTTCAAAAATAAGAATGATGTAAAATCAATGAACTTGCCTTGTTTTGACATGATAGATAACTCTCTGACCAGCCACCAGAAGCAAGTTGTTTTGATAGCAGAAAATCACAAGCTTTCCGGATGCTGGAACTATTGTTATAATTTTTTCCAGCAGCCACCAACCCTTTTACGCCAAACCATGTACCATAAGTGAAGCAAACCCCCCAAGAACCATACCTGTTTAGCAATTTTGGAAATAACATAAAAAGCATGCACATTGATTGATTGAGCAAGATCTTGGAACTACTAGATCAGAGAATAAGAAAGCAGCTAAACAGAGCTTATAGAGAAGAGACATGGGGCTAACCATGAACCATCAGATGCTTGTATCTTTTCAATAAACTCAACAGCTTTTTTGATACAGCTTTCTATTTCTTCTCGCCGATGACTAGGATATAATTTCTTAAATGATACCAGAGCTTGAATAGAAGCTGAGGTACATTCAACATACCTACAGAGACATGCCATAATTACTTATTTGCTAAACTAAGTAAACTGGAAACGAACAAAAAAGAAGATATAAACGGATGCAGTTCAAGGTGCTGGTATCTTACGGATAATCAATTACAATGTCACCGAAGGTTTCAGCAGGGTTGATCAACTGGGAAAAGAAAAGATACAGTGGATTAGGTTAGTTCTCCATTATCTCAGGGGGTAATGGTAGCTTCAACTTAAACCATTTTATGAGTCATGACTCATGACATACAACAGTGACTTTTTCCAGTTTCAAGTAATATTTAACAGAGAATAAATTATAATTTTTCCTAAAAGAAAATGTTGAGAGCATAAACCACATCGATGGTAAACTTTTCTTGTACATTTTCCATTGTTCATGGAGTGGTTTTCACTAGTTTATAAACAACAGAACCTGTGTAAGGGGTTTGATAATATGCAATCACAAAACGAAGAAAAACATGTTTTCCCTATCTTTCCAGATTATGTTAAGATGGAAATGAGCACAAAATACAAATGTGCATGTTCCTTTTCAGTCGCTATACAGATTCTAACACTTATGGAGGGAGGAGTTATTATGGCAGTCATATTACTGAACGTGTTGATGCACAAAACCGGAGGTCTTGGAACAACGTAAATCCGACCGTGAATCTGCAAGTAATGTAAATAACACAAGATGTATCGTGGTTCCACCCCAAGGTTTGGGCTACGTCCACACTGATATTGTATTTATCTGAAAGGTGAGGGAGAGAACCTCTGAATATGAGAGGGGATGTGAGAGGGGTGAGAAGGCTTAAGAAATGGCCTCCCCTAATTGTGAGGGTGAGGAGTCCTTTTATAGAATAAGGACTCCTCACTTATTACATATTTACCCATTCCTTTATTACATAATTACATTTAAGTCCCCCGAGTATTTGTATGAGATCTAAATACGGAGACCCTAAGTATGGTATAAACAGTAGTTCCCCAAGTCTTCAGTCAAGAGAGTCTTTTGGCTGGAGACTTGAAATTCAGTCCATATGTGGGCCGAAGTAACTAGATGTCGTCTAGAGTTGAATACTCGATATGAGGCAGTGCTCAATGTGAAATGAGGCTCAACTAGATGTAGCACATGTTGCGAGGCTGCTCGGCTTGTGGCTTATGTTGCTTTGGTTAGCTCGGCTTCTGGCGTTTGAAGGTGAGGGAGTCCCTTTTATAGAATAAGGGCTCCTCCTCAATACATGAATGATGGGCTAGAGTTGATGCTTTCTAATGATGGTGAGGCAGCCCATTTTATAGAATAAGGGCTCGCTCCTCAGTACATGAATAATGGGTGCTCTCTAATGAAAGTGAGGGAGTCCCTTTTATAGAATAAGAGCTCGCTCCTCAATACATAAGTTTAAGTCCCCCGAGTATTTTTTATGAGGCCCAGTTGAGGCCCGATTTATGGTACATAATGTAGTTCCCCAAGTCTTTGGTCAATAGAGTCTGTTGGCTGGAGATTTTAAATTGAATCCATGTATGGGCCGAAATGGTGGTTGTTCGGAGGCGGTATTTGTATACCGTCCACTGAAACTTTGTAGGTGAAGCTTTGCAAGTGAAGCTTTGAAGCTGAAGCTTTTGTAAATGAAGCTTTTGAAGCTAGAGCTCTGTAAATGAAGCTTTTGAAGCTAGAGTTCTGTAAATGAAGATTTTGAAGCTATAGCTCTGTAAATGACGCTTTTGACGCTAGAGCTCTGTAAATGAAACTTTTGATGCTAAAGCTCTGTAAATGAAGCTTTTGAAGCTAGAGTTCTGTAAATGAAGCTTTTGAAGCTAGAGCTCTGTAAATGACGCTTTTGAAGCTAGAGCTCTGTAAATGAAGCTTTTGAAACTAGAGCTCTGTAAATGAAGCTTTTGAAGCTAGAGCTCTGTAAATGAAGCTTTTGAAGCTAGAGCTCTGTAAATGAAGCTTTTGAAGCTAGAGCTCTGTAAATGACGCTTTTGAAGTTAGAGCTTTGTAAATGAAGTTTTTGAAGCTGATTGACATGAGCGATGCTCATGAATGTTTATGTTGATTGACATGAGTGATGCTCATGGGTGTTGTCATGAGTGATGCTCATGAATGTTGACATGAGTGATGCTCATGAATGTTTATGTATGATTGATATGAGTGATGCTCATGAATGTTTATTTATGATTGACATGAGTAGTGCTTATGTATAATTTTGAAGTACTGGGCGTACTTTTGATCACCTGGTTGGTGGTAATAGCAGCAGGCTGTTGAATAAATTTGGAGTCCTGGACGTACTTTTGATCACCTGGTTGGTGGTAATAGCGGCAGACTGCCGAATAATTATGGAGTACTGGACGTAATTTTGATCACCTGGTTGGCGATGATAGCGGCAAGGTGCCGAATAATTTTTTGTAGTACTGGACGTACTTTTGGTCACTTGGTTCGTGCTATTTTGGGCTTATAGGCCTTCGCTCTCCACACAACATTCCAGCCCTTATTTTGGTGTTTTATTTTTTATTTTTTATTTTTTTTATTACCCTCTGATGGGGTTTATACAGATATCTCCGAAAGATAAGAAAAATAAATTACATCATTCAAAAATAAATCCGACCCTTTGCTCAATGGATCACGCTCATAATGCCATCACCACCGCAATTATCTTCTTTTGCTTTACTTTCTCTTTTCTGCTTTCTGAAATATTCTCCCAACGACATGATCTTTTTTCTTTTTCTTTTCTATTCCTTTACCTTGATCTCTCCACCTCCAGACACACTCGCCTTGGTTGTGCCCATCCATTCTCACTTCTCTTTTTCCCTTTTTCTTGCTTTTCTGTTCCCACTGCTTTTCTCTCTTTCGACAAGATGATGGATGGAAATGAAGCTTTTGTAGGATGACCCCAACTTCGAGTAGTGTCCCCATGCTTTTGCATGTTTATTCCTTGCTGCTCAACCAAGAAAGTGGAGGGAAAGATGCCCGATCTGCTTATAAACATTGTAATTCGTAGACAGGTGGGACCAGTCCGAGCTTGATGAAGGAAAGCTTATTGGTGCGATTGCCGATGATGCGGTTCTTGAGCTTTCTGAGAGCCTTGAGTTGGACGTCGAAGTGGGGTGACGTCAGCCGGGTCAGGAGGTTCGAGTGGGTCCCACTGGTTGAAGAGGCGGAGGTGGAGACTGAGGGTGAGGCTGCGGTGGACATCGCCGGCGCTTCTTCTCATCCTGCTTGTTCTCAAAGTACCTCATCCTCTTAACCTCCTGAATAACGCCGACCTTCATGACCTCCCGCTGGAACCTGCCGAGCAGCCGCTCCTCAGGCTTGTTGTCGTCGACAATCACCTGCACATTGTACGCCGACTTGAAGAAAAGGACGTTGGCGTGAGCCAGAGGGGCAAATCACAGACTCTATCAACGAAGAAGAGTAGAGTGGGCCCCTTGGGCAGCCAGTAGAACCAGCCGGTCTCTGGGCTTCTGGGTCTGTAGAATGGAGAGCTGGGTCGGTGGGAGTTTGGGTTGCAATGGCTTTGAGAGGCTGAGGAGGAAGAACAAGTTGCAGAGAGCGGATGAAGTAGCCATGGATGATGATGTAAGAAGCCAGTTCTGGTGGCTTCGACAAGAGAGATATCTTGAATAGGAGAAGTCAACATCCACTTTGTCGAATTGTATCGACGGACCTCGTAGCCATTCCTGACCTCGACTATGTCGAAGATAGGACACTCTATGTTGTTACATGATGGTGGAAATATTACCAAACTGTTTTTAGTTTGTGGCCACAACCCCAAGTTCAGATTGGAGAGAAGGCTCAAGAAAAATGAGAGCTTAAACATGCTAAAAGAAGCCATGGATGAGTAGTCGTTGGAGCCGGAGTAGGAGAAGAAGCTCCGGTCACACCGACATCGATGAAACCACGTCGGAGATAGAGGAGGCTAAAGACGACGAGACAAACGATGGCGTTTCCTCGTCCTTCGTCGCACACATGCGCTGTTTGCTGTAGAAGCAGCTACAAAGAGTAAGTTATCATAGCAATTTCTCAGATCTTGCATGTCCTGAGCCGCCTGAGCGAGCTCATCGACCTGAGCCAATGGTAGAATGCCTCTCTTATCTTTGGCATCATTTTTGTGCAGTTCGAACCTCCGAAACATGCTAAGCGAGGTCTTCATTGCCGTGATGAGCTTTATTGTCGTGATGAGCCAGATTGCACTTCACCACATAACAGTGGCCTACTCGATGCTTTACTCCACGAGGCAAAAGCTCTTAGTAGTGCGAAGAATCATTCATCTGAGTGGGACTAACAGCCGACGAAAATGACTGTTTGGTTGGCTGTGGCTGAGCAAGTGTATCCTTCTGTGCTTGGAACTTGTGTGCATGGCGGAGTAGGTGGTGGCAGCTGAGAAAAAAGAAGCAGAGCAGGGCGGAGGAGACCTCAGAGTTTTGGTTCTCATATTTTCTGCTTTTGGCTTGCTGGGATTTTGCAGATTCACGGCGGAGGTGAAAAATTGAGAGAGAACCGACATCACTTTTCGTATCGATTCCCACAGACGACGCGACGCCAATTGTTGATGCACAAAACCGGAGGTCTTGGAACAACGTAAATCCGACCGTGAATCTGCAAGTAATGTAAATAACACAAGATGTATTGTGGTTCACCCCCAAGGTTTGGGCTACGTCCACACTGATATTGTATTTATCTTAGAGGTGAGGGAGAGAACCTCTGAATATGAGAGGGGATGTGAGAGGGGTGAGAAGGCTTAAGAAATGGCCTCCCCTAATTGTGAGGGTAAGGAGTCCTTTTATAGAATAAGGGCTCCTCACTTATTACATATTTGCCCCTTCCTTTATTACATAATTACATTTAAGCCCCCCGAGTATTTGTACGAGATCTAAATACGGAGGCCCTAAGTATGGTATAAACAGAACACATGCCACACAAATTTGAGCAGAACCCACCAAAATAAAATGATGAAAAGTGAAAGATAATTGGGAGTCATTAAAATGCGACTACCTCCAACCAACTGTACGATCTTGTGAGCTCATATGTTGCAAAGCCACCATCACCATTCTGCAATCACATTATAATAAATAGCTATCAGCGATTAAAAACTTTCAGATCATAAATCAGTTATTACAGAAAAAAAGCAATGATGATTGTTCATAGGGAATATGCATATGGGGAAAGTACAGAAAAAAGCAACGATGAGTATTCGTAGGAAATATACGTATGGGGGGAGAAGTGAGCTTCATGATCAATTAGCACAGTTCACATTTTGATGTAATAATAGGTCAAAATAGAGAAGGCATTGTCACACACATAAATGCTCTCCTGGTCACTCACACTTGAATTCGATATCACGGGAGGAGAATAAACGGATGTACTTTTAATGTTTTAATCTCAACTTTGGATATCAAATCCAAGGGTGGGTGACCATGAATTCTTGGCCACCAGATGACCAAGAGAACGGAACTCGCATAGCTCATTGCAACTCACCCTCCACATTGGAATTTTAAGGGTAACTAGGTTCATCTGTGGTTTCATCCTTCACTCTCTAGAATTTTGTAATTAAGAGTTGGAAAAATTCAGGTAAGGTTCTAGGTAGGTGCAAGTTAGGATACTGATTTTAAATAGGTACTACAAAATCCTGCTGCTTCTGCTGCTGTGGATGCTGATGATGATTATCTTGACATTATTGATAAATTTATGAGGTATTGAATCTAGAGATGGACAAATCTAGCATAGAAATGGGAGTGGAGCCTCAGATAGAAAGCTTAACGAATTGAGAATAGATATCTTATATTATAAGTTAACCTTAGTGGAGGACTGATGTAAGTTACCCTTCTTTTATCGTTGTTAATGTTTATGATCTTCAAGAAAGGAATTTATTATAAAGGCGAAATGGAAATGCAATAGCCAAAAATTCTAGAAAATCTTAACAAAATTGATTATTGTGAAGTTTGAAAAGGTTCTTGTTCAAGAATTGTAATCATCTTATACATAATAGAACTTTATAACAGTCATACTGGTATGCAAGCTGCATATGTCCCACTTCTAAAGTCATCATTGAGTGCATTAATAAGTAGCTTTAGAGATGCCATGGGTGGTAGAAAATTACTACACTTATCTACTTCAGAGTTCAGACTATCATGGCCTGAGCTAACCTGTAATGAGAGTATGACATTGACAGCATCATAAAGCCGCTTTGTATCTAGTGGTTCACCAACAATTTCTGATGGAATTTTGGACAATGATAGAACAGCCTGAAAAAGAAAGACTTAGAAATAGTGAACAATGAGTAAGCAGATACAGTGTGTTCAACTGACCAACACTCACTTTCAATCCTTCAGCAGTGCAGTCTGAGATGGGCCATCCATGATCAGCAGTTGAGAAAGGCCAAGCACCCTTTGAAATGTGGCGATACCAATAGTCAAGATCACCGGGACAATCTTCTAAAACCTTGAGAGAAAATAAAACAGTCAATCATGGATATGGCGGGCCCATTAAAGTGTAACAGTATTAAGAAGCAAACATGAACTTGGATGCACAAGGTCACCACCTGTGAATCTTTTATGTATTGATGTCCCTTTCTTAGAATTGAACCAAATTCTTCTATAAGGTTGGTTGCGATAATTGCTTGAACAGAAAAAGAAGTGTCCCATGCCTGGCTTCCATTATACCCCTGCAGTAAATTCATAACATCAGGTTACTTGGCAGAAAACTCATCAAAAAATGCTGTTTCAATAAGTGCTGTAAAACAAAGTCAGCATAACTGAGTTTATTAAAAATTTCAGACTTTTTGTCTCGGTAAGAAGGAACTCAATGCAATATCTGGATAATGAATAAATCACATTTTGAGGCTATTAAAACTTCAAAAACATGCTCAACTTCCTGGCAATTGTATTGTATATGATCATCACGCATATTTTTGTAGAAAAAAAATTTTACATTATCATGTTATTGATGACTACTGAATACAATTAGAAAGATCAATTATGTAGCAAGTTTTATGATAAGCATCCCAAACAGCTATAAAGTGTCAATGGATGGGATATGTTCCAGAAATATGGAAGAATAGTTAAAAATAGTTGAAGGTAAGATGGTAGTATACAGACCTGCATTTTCATGCCATCTTCAGCAATCCATAGGTAATCATAGATTCTTGGAATATGTAACTTGAAAGCCTCTGAATTCGGATCTTCTGCCCAACAGCAAAGCATATTTAAAACCTGCAATCCGCAACAACCTCAAACTCTAATTGACATGTAGAAATATGCAAAAGGATTGGGAGGAACTTGAACTTCAATAAAAAAACCAAAATGACAAACTAATGAACAGTTAAAACAGTCATCCAGACAAAGGACCAGATTTATTAAAGATCAGTAAAGCATTTAAGAACCTAACTAATAAACTATTCTTGACTTAAAAATTTTTAATAACAGCATTATCATCATAACCAACACCAAGTTTGGCAGGCTGAAGAGTGTGAGTGAAAATGGGGATGGAAAGATAGGTGAGGAAAAAGGACAATTGGGTGGAGGAAGAGCCTCCAGACCCACCAAAAGCATACAAAATTAACTGAAACCAAATAAAGGACTAAATGTAATCTTTTATATTAAACTATTCTTCCTCTCTCCTTCCTTTCAACCCAACAAGAGGAGGAAATATTTAAATCCATCTCTCTTTCTATCATCATCCCATGTCTACTATCCTTTTCCTCCTTCTTACTCTCCATCACCTCTTCCAAATGTAGTATAAGTGGCAGCACTAAAACATTACGTTTGCTCCCCTTAACAGACAAAGTTTAAAAACAAGTCTGTACAGCACCGAACCACTGGGATATGTACCTTATTCACAGGTCCAATGCAAATATAACGAGTGTTCTCATCTTCATAGTGTATGTGCTCAATTGCAGTGCGAAGAGCCTTTTCTCTCAACTTCTTCCCAGGCCAACGCAGCAAGATTGGCTCAACAGCCATATGAAGAGAGGACCAAAGTATATCCTGTACGAGGGGGTGTGGATAGTACAAATCTTCCTGCAAAAATTAAAGAAACTAAGTTTCTAGTAAGCAAAAATGAGATCAATGAGAATGGATACACGAATAGTTGACCATATTCCAACTAATGGAACAATATAAATATTGCAATCTGCTGATTATATCCACAAGGTATTTAGATGCATTCCTTATTTTTGTAATAAGAAAGAAATGAATTTTCTTGTGACAAAAATTAGGATCAATGTCAAAGTACAGACAGATAGTTCCGTATACCAATTGATATAACAATATAAACATGCAATCTGCAACTGCTGACTGTAATCCACTAAGATGTTTGGAACACATTAACTGAACTTTGCTCGTGAATGGATCATTATTTTAATAGAAACACAGTGATACATAGTAATAGGTAGAAATAAGAAAAGAATATACACAACTATAGTAAAGCTATCAAAGAAGTAGATAATAGCAGTCAAATTTGTTACACATAGATTTTAGCACTGATTTGATGACATGATTAGTTTGACCAACCTTTGCACACTGGTTGCGTGCCTCATTCCAATCTATTTCATGGTAGGGGACATTAAAAAGTTCTTTCCTCAAAGACAAAACTGTCGGTGTGATTGGGCCAACAAACCTCTTCCCATAAAGGTAAGACATTGGCAGATAGACCATCCGGCAGTGACACCACATCCTTCCTGCAGAGTAATGTGCAAACCATTTCTCTGTTATGGTATTTACTAGACGGTCAAAACAATTATTCATGCATGCCGCAAGAAATCTTTATGTGAAATTTTACAGCTGGAACTTCAATTTGATTAAACAATAACCACACTAGTCGAGAATGGTGGCAGTTGAAATCTCAATAGTAGGACAAAGAACACAATATTTAAACTAAACTTTGAGAAGTGAAGAAGGCCCAGCAGAATAGAGCATATTCTATTTATTGTTAGAAGAATGCTATATCACTGGCAAGATGCTAAAAAAAATCAACCAGAGGTTGATCACTTCAAAATTGATGCCGATGAAATAAAAAAAAGGCTCGGAGTTAAGCATAAAATGTATGCTATTGAACTAATATGACCACCTAAGCTGTGTTGATTGCCATAATTGATAGTGCACCACAAGTTATGAGGTCATGTCTCTATCAGCCACGTTAGAGAAATTGCAGAAAATGCTTTTTTCCCCCTCTTGTAAGAAGCAATCACTTATTCTTCTCAAACACAGACACAAATACATACAGGAAAAACACTCATACACATAGAATGAACAAAAGGCAAGAACCTGGATGGATAGGGAGCATGTATGGAAGAAGCCATATCTCAGGGGGCAGGGGATTGTTGCCAGACCATTCAAATGCTCCAAGTACCTATTACCATCCACCAATGCTACAATGATTAAATACTGCACTAGATTGAGTACATATAGAACTCTTTCCAGCACAAACTAGTAAGACGCGAAGGTCAGTTATTCCAACAAGATAAAGGTTAAGTTCTGAACTGATAACCACATTTTCCCCCACGACGTAATTGCAGTAGCACCACCATGGTCCAGAATCCATCTACGCCCACTCTGCATGGCTCCTTGTCCATCTTTAGCTCCTTCACCAAGCAACCTTAAAGTAACATAAGTCAAGACACTACCAAACATAGTACTCGGGCCCTCGATGTGCAATCCCCACCCACCATCTTTGTTCTGCAATTAAACATCTCTAAATTAACAAATTTTGGTCCCACGTGCAGAAACTCTACAATACGAGATCTCTGATAAACAAACAAAAGTTTAGCAAATAATAAGGTACCAGTGAAAAGGTGCATGTGCCCCAAATTTAAAATCTAAATTGATCCTTGCCTGATGATTGTAAAGGTATCGACAGATCTCCTTCTTATGCTCATCTGATAAAACTGCATTTAATGCCCCAGTGATAGTCAAAGTAATCACCTGATCATTTGATGGGAAAAAAATGTCAGGAATGACAATGATTACATTTATCATGAAAGAAAAAATAAAAAATTTTAGCGGCCTCCAGTGTACTTTTATGTTCCTGAAGGCTAAGAAATTGATCTAAAATACAACCCACTCCATTTTGGGATGACCTGGAATATTTTCCGCAACAGAAGACTTTGCCATTATCAGCACTTACCAGGCCAGGAAGTAGAAACATAGGACCTCCATAGTCCCCGGGCCAATGTCCATCATGGGCTTGAAGTGTTGAATGGTAACTTATACCCCTTCTTACTGTATTTGTCACTGCCTCTTCAGTCACATCTTCAGTTTCTTTTACTTTGACCTGGGGTAAAACAGCACGGCCTGGGTTCTCCTTGGAAAACTATATTTTTGTGAGGAAAGATAAATGGTTATAAGGAGTGATGGCATTTAGACATTATATAAAAATAACTTTATGTACAAATGTTTGAGCATTAACAATCTCATTCACCATTCCCCTCAGAGCAAAGCAAAATAAAAAATGAATATGTCAAATGAATAGTCTCCCATGAAGCTCTCTCAACATGTTTTTTCTCAAGAAAAGATGATATAAATCTCTGATGATTTACACAAAAAAGTAATCAAGGAGGCAGCTTCATTTTCTGGATGAGTTAAGCAGCCGGTTGTAAAATCTTGACCACTATTCTAACTACAGAAGGACAGGAAATTTTAGATTTTATCTTATATAGGAGACGTGTAAATCTATTTTATATTAGAAAACTTAAACGCATAATTAATTTTGCAATAATATTGGACAAGAGGTCAAAGGGAAACCTGTTTAGAGGAGTCTTCTGCTGTTCAAACTTAATAACTCTTTCAATGTAACCCACAAAAGATAAATTTCTTTAAACCAACACTAAAATGTTCTTTATGGAAATGCAAAGGTGAAGGCTTATGATTGCATATTCACTAACCTTAGAACTCAAGTCACAACAATATCACCTATAGCAGTATATTGTACAGAAAGAACCAGTTTATGTTTAATTATTCCACCTATTTAATGGAAAGCACTATGCTTCTAATAAGTTATCTTAGAGCTCAGGCAATGCTTTTAGATAACCAGAAGTACTTGTGGTAATGTTTGGCAAAACATATTTAAAACTGATTTCTGGAAAAACACCCAGCATGCACTTCTTCAGGAAGCACTTCCAAGTTATTTTCAAGGAAAAATAATTTGTTGTGTTTCTAACAAAAGCAGTTCAGCAAAAGTGCTTATGAAAGGGGCCATTACACAATATGCCCTTTGCATTTAAAAATAAAAAAGATGAAAGGTATAAAGTATAAGGTGTACAGGATTTATCATTGACTACAAGTAGATAATTTTTTGCAGGGTGCTTACTGCTATTTAGTTCAATTTAGTGATTCAAACTTTAAGTTATAACCAGTTTCAGAATGGTTAAAAAGTGGTAGTTTTAGAGTTGACCACATCTAGTTACACACTGGCTTGCACTTGTTCCTGTTGGTAGAATTTGAATTTCAGAAGAGCCTAGCTCAAAGTACTTCAGAAGTTTTTT